TCGCACCATGGGGATTGTGTCTCATCAAGGCAAAAGCTTGTATGTGGTAGAGAGCACAATGTGATAAAGAAACTTCAATATGCAAAATGTATTATGGTAAAATCGCTCTAATATATTCACCTTCGGATAAAAGCATGTCTTTGCTGACTAATTTTTTGCCTAAATTATATTTTATTTTATTCTTTACTGATGTCTTGTTAACTCCTTAACTCCCCTGCCCCCATCCAGTTCTCAAACAGTCTAGAGATAAATATAACTCAGATTATTACACTGAAAGAAAGCATCCAATCATTATTTCAACATGCTAAAGTCTACCATGTCCATTGCTTCTCCCTTATCCACAGGGCTTGATATCCTATCAAAGAAAGCTATCAGATTGGTTTGACATGATTTGTTCTTTACAAGTCCATGCTGGCTGTTGCCTATCACCTTATTATCTTCCAGATGTTTGCAGATGTTTTACTTAATTACTTGCTCCATTATCTTCCCTGGGTTGTTCTTCTTTCCCTTTTTATAGGTGAGCACTATGTTTGTCATTTTCCAGTTTTTGTGAATCTCTCCTGACTTCCATGTCTTTTCAAAGATGGTAACTCAGATACCTCCTCTATCAGCTCCTTGAGTATTCTAGGATGCATTTCAGCAGGCCCATGTGACTTGAAGATATCTAACTTTTCTAAGTAATTTTTTACTTGTTCTTTTTTTATTTTAACTTTTAAATCTACCCCATTTCCACTAACATTCACTATGTTAGGCATCCCGTCACAATCAAACTTCATATTGAAAACTGAAACAAAGAAATCATTAAACACCTCTGCCATTTCCAAGTTTCCTGTTGTTGTTTATTCCTCTTTACTGAGCAATGGGCCTACCCTATCATTAGTCTTCCTCTTGCTTCTAATACATTTATAGAATGTCTTCTTGTTACCATTTATGTCTCTAGCTAGATTGAGCTCATTTTGTGCCTTTGCCTTTCTAATCTTGTTCCTGCATACTTGCATTGTTTGCTTATATTCATCCTTTGTAATTTGACCTAGTTTCCATTTTTTATATAACTCCTTTTTTATTTTTAGATAATGCAAGATCTCCTGGTTAAGCGAAAGTGGTCTCTTACCATACTTTCTATCTTTCCCACACAGTGGAATAGTTTGTTTTTGGGCCCTTAATAATGTCCCTTTGAAAAACTGCCAACTCTGTTCAGTTGTTTTTCCTCTTGTTCTTGCGTCTCATGGGACTTTACCTACCAGCACTCTTGAGTTGAGTAAAATCTGCCTTCCTGAAATCTATTGTCTCTGTTTTGCTGTTCTCCCTTCTACCTACCGTTCCTTAGAACAATGAACTCTATGATTTCATGATTACTTTCACCCAAACTGCCTTCCACTTTCAAATTTTCAACGAGTTCCTCGACTGGGAATACACGACTGGGAGCACATTGGGGTTATCTTGCAAGTAGTAACAGAGGCTGACAAAAGTCAGAGTATGAGTGAGTGTTGCTGACATAGTGCTAGGCTATTTTTTCAGACTTTTAATTTCTTTTGTTGTGCATGGGTGGGTTGTAATTTTATATTTGAGCTGGGGGTGGCTTGCTAGGACAGTGGGACAATAAATAATGTTTGTCTCCTACTTTCTGGAAAATTTCCCACCACCACTATGTAGAACTGGTGCAGTTTCCTCAGTTTGGTGAAGAACAGTGGGGATGTTTTAGTGTAGTATGGTGCTAGTGTAGCCGTGGGAGGTTATTAGAAGCTCCTCAGCATAGCTGCAGACCAAGAGAGAAGGTAAAAGGGCAGGAACTAATGAAGGCATACCTGTGTAGTTCTTCAAGGAGGTGTCCTCACAGGTCTCTGGCTTCGTTGAAGATTATAACCAGAAGGCTGCTTGTGTGTGTGCTCAGTGATGTGTGCCATTTCGACTTGTGCACTTAGTCTCCACAGCAGACCCCAAGAGATCCCCCAAAGACCATAAACCAGATAAGGATCGAAGATGCCAGGCCAGGTTTATTGTAGAGCAAAGTACAGTAATAGTTGTCAATAGACTCTACTGAACCACTAAGCATATGTACTTGCCACAATGGAATGACTCAATCAGTGGGAGGTCCCACTGCTCCTGAGATCATTCAAAGGCTGTCCCCTCGAAACACCATCTTATATACAGGTACAAGAAGTCCCACCTCATTGCTGATGTATCAGGTTGCCACCCTCTGACATTGTCAGGTTACTACCCTCTGATGCTACTTAGATACCACCCATCACCCTGTACCTTGTGGTTTGATTAGATCATCTCTATCCATCATTCTGTCATTTTAGACCCTTTCTTGAACCTGAGTCTGTATCTGTGAGGAGTGGATACCAAGGTCTTCTTTTAATGAGCTAGTGACCAGTACCAATTATTGTTCTGCAGTCAGTACCTAGCACCAATTAGTGTTTTGCGCACTCAGCCCTGTTCATGCCAAGTTCTGAGAGCTGGGGCCTGCCTCTTGCTCACACCGAAGCTCTGCTCTATGTTAGCCATGTTTTGCCCATTGTTAACTAGGCCTCAGGCCTCAATCCAGGCCTCTGCTACATGGGCTTATGTTTTAGGCCCTCATCTTACTACAACCGGTTCTCCTAAATTATGATCTGGACTTTGCATGAAATCTGGTAGCAATGTTGAGACATTTTTGAACATGTGTGAAGGCAAAACATGTCACGTCAGCACACTATGGGTCAAAGTCAGGCCACTCAGTCTTTGGAAAGACTTAACCCTGGAAAGTCACCCATGACACAAAGTATGTTGAGGTGTTAAGTTGGATAGTGGAGCAAGTGATAATTTTGCCTTCAGGAGTGTGGGGCAATAGTCTGTTGTGTTTAATTTGTGCTTCTAGATGGATGGCTTCACCAAAACAACTCTTGACATTGTTCACAAGGAAACACTTTGCCTCTGCTAGTGTTAGACTTAGTTATTTTTTTACAGGGTAACAATATTTCCTTCTTGCCCCTTTTTAGCCAGTGTTGATGACTTGCCCCCCCCCCCCCAAAATTAATTAAAATACTAAGTCCCTATTATAAATAAAATCCTCAGCAAATACATATGTACATATGTATGAGGGGAAATGTATGCAAAACACTCTCCTAAGAAGTTGAACAGAACTTCATTGCAGCAAGACTGAAATCATCATCAGAAATTTCTCTAAAGTATCGTTAACCCCCCAGGAGAGGGTTCTTCTTTTCAGACAGACTGCCACAATCTTGATTTATTCTAAACCCTCTTTAGACTGGGCAGATTGTCTAAGATGTGTAATCTAATTAAAAGAAAAAATCCCCATGTCATGCAGATGTGCTTTCGGGTCTTCCCACATTGTGTAAATCATCTGCATCTCCTGCTTTTTTTTTTATTCTGGGTACATCTTTCTTTTCCCCATGATGCTCTTTCACGCAGCCTCATTTTCACTGACACAAAACAAGAAATCAAACTTGCTGTAGTTATCGTCCTGTATGAGCCTGAGTGGAGTCTCAGGACTCAGTGTCTACCATGAGTGGCTTAGGTGAAGTCAGTGCTATGTACCTCCTTGCCTAATTTACTTCTCATGGAACTAAATTGCTTTTTCTTCACTCCGTTTTCAGTTGTCTGTTGATAAAAGCACATACCCTTAGTGCTGCTGGTGGTCTGACAGATGGAAACGACATTGAACAGTTTCCCCTCCAGCATCATTTAGGAGCTTTTATTCTCCTATAAAACACTAAATTTAACATTTGGGTAGGCTTTTAGGATATGAACTGTACTCCACACAGAAAAACGTCAGTGTCTTCATTCTTCCCCAGTAACTTATCTCAGTATGGATGTGCAGCCCAAGCAGTTGTATTTGTCTTGCTAATAAAATCAGTGCTGTGTGAAAAGGAAATGTCACGGGTCAGTTGATTTCCATGACACTTGGTATGATAAACTAAATTAGGATCCTGTAAGAATGCTACTTGGATTTATTCAGAGAAAGAGAAGGAAAAAGTTATCAGCTTTGCTGTAAGGGTTCTTTATGTGAGTTTGTTCAGTATGGATGAAGCCAGAACGGTAGTTGTATAAGTTATCTCTTAGGGTTTAAAATGATAAAATCAAATCCTCTTTCCTGCTCACATGTTCTTGGCACTGAAAGACATGCTGTTCTTTAAATTGCCTAGTTTTGAATATGAAGCCATTAAAATTGTATTTAAATTATTTCGCTGTAGAAAATAAGATGATAATTCTGAAATTATCGCATACCATCTAGGGAGGCTGGTAGGTATAACCATACATGTAGCTGTGTGTTCAATCATCTGGATGCTTTCTCCTAATTAGGATGTATTCACGTGTATAGGCCAAATTCAGATCTGATTTACACTTGCATAAATCTCACAGTAACTCAGTTGTATGTATAAAGTTGCTTTGGATTTACCTGAAGTAGCTATATTAACATTCTTCCTACATTCACCAGTGTGTCGCAACAACCCCACAGGTGTGATTGCTAAAAATGATTGAACATAACTAAAATAAGAATCTTAGAATTAACTCATAATAGTTCTGAATGTTTGTTTTTTGCCCTCAATCTAGATATCTTATGCAAGGATAGCCATTTTATTTTTGAAATATCGATTGTTGAATGTTCTGCTACTCCTTTTTTTTTTCTCTTTCTTTCTCTCTCTCTTTCTCTTTCACCACCCAGCTGTGATAATACTTGTTTGTTTTGGCATAATCTGCTGCCAAAGTGGTTATATCACAAATGGAGGATTATGTTTTGTTTGTATAAATAGGCAGGGGACGGGTTATGAAAGAGAGTGGTTTCATACGTGCTCAGTAGTTAGAGTTGTGGACAGAGGTTGATGATCTCAAAGGTGAAAAGGTTTTTAAGATTTGTTGTGCACTGATGTGGCTTTGGAATAATAGGACCCCGTCCTCTCCAAGAGAGCCTTCAAAGTTGTCTAACATTCCAAATTCAGTTATTCTTCTGTAGTAATAATAAACAGCTCTTAGCTTGTCCTCTTTTAATTTAATAGAGTTCTCTGGCAGAGACACTGGACAGCAGTGGAAGTTTAGATGCACAGAGAGCTGACATGATTTACACAATTGAAGATGTTCCTCCCTGGTATCTCTGCATATTCTTGGGTTTACAGGTACATTTCAAAACATTTATTTCTGAAGTTGTTTATAGAGTACATAGTGCATTCTACAATGTTAGTAACTTGCCTTCTGTTTTGAGTCCATTTGATTATTTATTTAAGTGGATTGAGGGGGCTGGCAACAGAGAGGTACGTATGCTGAGAGTGAGGCAGAACTGATGTAAAATACTACTGGGGAGTCTTAAAACAGCTGGACGTTTATAAAAGTCCTTCCTAATTGTTGCTATGCTCCCCCCTCCTACTTTTCATATCTCTATTAATTTTCTTCTCCAGCTTTCCCAGATTTTTGCAAAAAAAAAACCAAAAAAACAAAAACCCTGTCATGTCAAGATAGCCTTCCTGCAAAATGTCTTTTCCTTTCCCCACCACCTCTCAAAACTTGACATACCGTTGCTTGCTAAGCTGTTACATTTCAGGAATTACTGCAGACTTGCTTCACAAATAGCCATTTGGGCTGCTGCCTAACGTGTTCCTTAATTTAACTAAAAACTAAAATTCAGTAACAGCTTAATTAATTCATGTGAGAATAATATAGTGGGATGGAGATGAAAGAGATGTTCTGTTAACGTTCAGATCTTTCTTGGAAATACTGCTTTTAGTAGAGTTAGTTCTTGGAATGACTAGCACCAAGATGGCAGCATCCGCTGGCTGGAAAACTGATCAGTTGTGGGATGGGGAGGGAACACTACTCTCTTCCTGAGTGCCCTGTATGCTTTTCAGGAATTTGTTTGTACTTTTTAGTTAGAGAGTTAGACTCTGTCTAGGAGTGCTTCACTGGTATATAATACTGGCAAAGTGCTCTTAGTGAGGGCACAACTACACTGGCTAGGCTGTTTGTACCAGTGTAATAAAACCTTCCCCTGCAAATGAAACAAGCTAGAGTAGTAAAGGCACAGTTTTGCTAGCATGGCTCTGTCTACACTACAGAGTTCTGCCAGAACAGCTTTGTTGGTCAGGATTCACTTTGCATCTCTGACAAACTTAGCAATGTTGGCAGATGTCTGTAGTGTAGAACATAGCAGAACTTAATGGACAGCCAAAACAGCTGGATTTTAGTTGCTGTTTTGCTGTGAATGTGGACAAGTCCTTTCATCTCTCCTCTGTCTGGGATGGTTTAGAAACACCACAACCATGGCAAGGAGGTTAGTCTAGATCAGTGTGTGTTAAACTTTTTAAGACTGAGGAACACCAAACAATATTTTTTTTTATGGGGAACACCAAGGATTTTTTGTTGAGGAAGAAAAAGGGCCAGGGGGAAAGTTATTGGGGGGGGGGAGGTCTCCTGCCCCTTTAAGGGCAGCCATTTTGAATTCTGTTGTTCTCTGCAGCACACCTCCGACTGCCTTTCAGCACACCAATGTGCCGCGGAACACAGTTTAAGAAACACTGGTCTGGATGACTGAAGCAGTCCCTTCTAACTTTGATTTTGTGTATTTCAAAATGGAGGGAGAGAGGGACCTATTTTTCTGCTTTTGTAAATTGGAAGCTGTTTCAGTCTGGTTGCCTAGAGACCCCCTCATCAAAAATAAGAACAGAAACCATTTAGCTATGTCAATACCCAGAGTTATGATCGGTAAGTAGTCAAGTATCAGAGGGGGGATAGCCATGTTAGTCTGAATCTGCAAAAGTGATGAGGAGTCCTTTGGCACCTTATAGACTAACTGAAGTGTAGGAGCATAAGCTTTCGTGGGCAAAGACCCACTTCATCAAATGCTTCTGACGAAGTGAGTCTTTGCCCATGAAAGCTTACGCTCCAATAAATCTGTTAGTCTATAAGGTGCCATAGGACTCCTCGTCGCAATCTGTAAGTAGAAGTTCTTAGTAGCGGGCTAAAAGTATCTAAACATGGGAAGTAAAAGACACTAGGAATTAAAAATTTGGAGCCAGAATGCAGAAAACAGTGAAAGAGTTGTTGGCTAATTTGAAGCAATAAATACACTATTTTTCTTTTGCTCTGTTGATCTGAGATTTTTCGTATGTGTGATTATCAGTGTTAACAAGCTGTTAATTCTTCTCTATGTTCATAGCACTACTTGACATGTTTTAGTGGAACTATAGCAGTACCCTTTTTGCTAGCGGATGCCATGTGTGTTGGATTTGACCAGTGGGCTACCAGCCAACTGATTGGGACCATTTTCTTCTGTGTGGGAATCACTACTTTGTTACAAACAACTTTTGGATGCAGGTGAGATCAAGATTCATACCTTATTTTTCGTTGTTGAGATACTGATGGTGGAGTATGCATCTCTTTAAATTTACAGGACACAGCCTGTGATTCAAGAAGTATGTAGGGTATTTCTGGAGGGTGAATATGAAATAAAAAATAATGGTTAAAACTGCAGATTGCTCAGGAATAGAGTTGTCTGATCCTAATTTTGGAAGGCTTCATAGAAAAATGGACATGAAGTAAGACAGCCAGGCTATGTCTACAATTAAAATAGCAGAGTGGCATAGCTGCAGCTCGCCACTGCAGCGCTTCAGTGTACACATATCATACTCACTCTTGACAGCGACTGGAGGGACTCTCTAGTTGCTGTAGCGAATCCACCTCCCTGAGAGGTCATAACGACTAATTCTGTCAGTCTAGTCTATCAATGTAACACTGTTGTAGACTTGCTGGCTTCACTATGCCAGAGATGTGGATTTTCTACACCTCTGAGCAATGTATCTGAGTTGATCTAATTTTCTAATGTAGACCAGTCCTGCATTGTAGATAATTGGAAAGCTGTTTCAAATGAAGACCCAAACAAAAAAATAGTAGTAGCAAGGAATGAATGAACATGGGGGGCAGAGGGAAATTATTTAGTCCACTTTAAAAGGAGCCTGCTTTTAAAGTAGCCAGTTCCTTTACAAAAGTTGACATTTAAGTGTATGGACACAGTAACAGCTGCTGCTGCTTCTGTCATACTGTGCTGTGACAGTTTCACCAAGATGATTGTTAAAGCATGTTGAAATAGTAGGGTTTCTGGACTCATACAGCTCTGATGCTGAAGGATGCAGGTGTGTTTCTGTGAAAGAAGGTGAACTGTGTATTTACTCATGCTTATAGCTGAGGATAAAATGCTGATATAGAAGAGTCGCCCTTTGCTTTGTCGTAACCCTTGCACTTTTCAATCCTGTTTACATAACTGAGGTAGCTAGCACAATAGACATTAAGAAAAAGGAAGGGCAGCTTCTTATCCCTAACCTGACTGTTTCTGCCAATATTACAACCTTTGCGTATGTATCTTTCTAAATTCCCTCTGTGGGAATGAGTGAGGAATAATGGTCTTATTTCTTAACTGTGCAGAGTTGCAAGTACCTCTATCACAAATTGTCAAGGAACATGAGCATTAAACTAGCTTGCTTGGAGTTCCCGGGGGATATCTTTTACTCCGCTATTGCTGAAAGTCTTACTTTTTAATAAGATGACATATCTGAAACTGGTCTCAATATTACCAGATTTTTTAAATAATATACATAATTGCCAAATCATAGAGTGACTTCTATGTGCTAGTAACAGTGAATTTAGATAAAATCTCACTGTAGTATCCACTGATTTTTTATTTTAAGTATTTTCTTACCCCTTGTTCACCCGTTATTTGTCAGTCAAGGGATGGATAAAAGCCACAAAGTTTCTGCATCTTGAATAGAATCAAGAAAGAAAAATAAGACAAGAAGAAAAGTATTTATTATATTAGCATGTCTAAGCATAACTGCTTCTACTGTTCAAGTGTCACTTAATTCATCATAAAAATGATACAAGATGAGATCTTAGACTTGCAATGAAAAATAGACAACATGATTCCAATTAAAAATATTTACCGAAGAAACAGACATTTTGGATAAAAGAGATCATGCAGCAGGGAAAAGAGGGCAAACCTGTTAAACATATCATTTAGGACTATTAATACAGGTCAGCCAAAAGGGAAAAGAACAAAACCTCTTCAGGCAATTTAGGCTTCCTAAGTCAAAGTCCTTATGTTACTTGTTTTGCTTTCAATAGTCAGGAGAAAGTATTCAACTGATCTGCCATCTCACCTTCCTTCTACCTTCTTAGAAAAGATTCTTTTGTTCTTTTCTTACCCAGCTGCTCTAACAATTGTGTAAAGCTGCTTTAATACGTCATTCATCAAATGCTCACTTCAGATATAGAAAAGGGTTATTTGTCGAAGTGGAATTGTCGGAAAGGAGAGAGAAGCATTTGCTTTTTCCCAGAGCATGTTTTCCTTATAACTATTTGTTCCTTCACATGAATGAGACAGTTATCTTTCCTACTCAGTTTGTTCCTGCATCTTGAATAGAATCAAGTGTGAAAAGACCAGAAGAAAAATAACTTCATATGAATATAATGAGTTAGCTTGATGCTCAAATGTGCTTACTTCTAGATTTATACATTTATAAAGGGGGTGGGGGTTTAGTAGAGAAGCATGGACCAGCGCACTCAGTGTTTAATCTAGTCTAGTTTAATCACATTTAAATTGAGCGCTGTATCTGATGTGTTGCTGCTTACTCAAAGCTTGTTACCTGTAACATCTTACTTTTTAACTCTTTATTTTGCATCTTATTCAGACTTGTACATATAAGGTCAAGGAGTGGTTAAAGCAATCAGAAATTGGAAAATATAACCAAGTTTTTTATGTCTCTTTGGGTATGTCGAACTAGGGAGGCTAATGTAGGCATTTGAAGTTGCAAATCAAGCCTGGGATTTAAATATCCCGCGCTTGATTTGCATCTTCCCGGCTGGTCGCCATTTTTTTAAAATTACAAATCTGGACTAGCTGCCCACATCTACATGTGGCAGGGACCCGGTAGTTTGAAATAAAGTCCTAGTTCAAACTACCTGTTGTTCCTCCTGGAATGAGGAATATTTAAATCGCAGGCTTGAATGCCTACATTAGCCTCCCTAGTTCGAACTAGGGGGCTAGTGTAGACACACCCTTTTAGATTAAAAAGTCATCTTCATTTTTAGACCACTCTACACTTGCTCTGTCACCTTTTAGACCTATTCCACTGCCTCGTTTGTGAGGAGAATTGCTGGCTGAACAGTTTGTACCTATATTAGTATGTTTGATACAGTTTAATATTTGATTGGGGTCTGCAGACATGAACTACACTTGCAGTGGGATTCTTACAAGTGTTATTGGCAAGCCCATGAACTGAAAAATGTTTAAACAAATAAAGCTATTATGGTTTCAAAAAGGTAATATTTCACTGGTTAAACGTCCTTAAGGATGGATGTACCAGCTATGTGGAGCCATTGTGAGTTGGTCGGGTTTCCATTCTAATGTTAGGAATTCAAGCTATTTACCAGAGCATACCTCTTTGCCAGGCTTTTGGATTAATCCAAAGGAACCATTATGATCTGAGAGATATATATTTCCCTAAATACATATTGAGGTTTGCTGAACTATGTCTCTGTAGCATTGTTACATCTATGCAATGAATTTGTTAGCTAGACCAGTGTTTCTCAACCTTTTTTTTATAAACTTAAAAAACAAGTAGTAGTCTGGTAGCCCTTTAAAGACTAACAAAACATGTAGATGGTATCATGATACCATCTACATGTTTTGTTAGTCTTTAAAGGGCTACCAGACTACTATCATGATACCATCTACATGTTTGTTAGTCTTTAAAGGGCTACCAGACTACTATCATGATACCATCTACATGTTTGTTAGTCTTTAAAGGGCTACCAGACTACTATCATGATACCATCTACATGTTTGTTAGTCTTTAAAGGGCTACCAGACTATTTGTTGTTTTTTAAGTTTATCCTGTACAGACGAACTCAGCTATCCCCTGAAGCTTTTTTTTTTCATAAAGTACCCCCTTAAAAAAATTATATGTATCCCTAGTACCTAGAATTTTCAGACACACAATTTTTTTTTCTACCATTACAACACATTTGTTTAAACAACTTAATTGTAACTGGTTGGTTGGAAGAAATTGCCTATAAGCAATAAACTTGCCATCGTACTTATGATTGTGCAAAAAGGACAAATAAAAATTAGATGAACATAAAATAAGTCCAATGTTCTATTCATACATATACGTACACACATATGCATATATTTTTATACAAACATCAATGAAAAGTGATCAGTAAAATTACTAGAAAAAATATAATTAACTTAACACAAAATGTGAGCTTGTTTGGATGAAATCAGATTTTCAAACCTACATTTCAAACTGCTGAGGGCCACAATTAAATCATTTTCTGGAGACATATGATTTCTTAATTTAGTTTTAAATTCAGTCATAGCTGAAAAACTTGCTTCGCATAAGTAGGTTGATGTGAATGGGAGGAGTTCTGTGAAAGCCATGCTAGTCAATTATTTATATTCACCTTTCATTTTTTTGCCAGAACATGGCAATGTCACCACATCCCATGCCTTGCATCTTTAGTACACTATCAGTAGAAAGCTTAAAAAGTGCTCCTTCATTTCTTCTGAAATCCCTGCTTTCTCAATAGCATTGTCATTAAACTGATTCAAAATCCAAAGCTTCTGTCAAAGCTCGGAAAATATCGTTCCAAATTTGTCAAATGTTCCTTTATTGATGTTTTGACATGTTCATGACACAGAATTTCCAAATAACATATTATTTTTCCAGAATGCTAATTTTTTCCTGGATGCCTGTTTGTACTTTATCGTGCAAGATTAAAATATTTGTATTAAAACCTTGTAACTGTAGGTTCAAGTTATTGATTTTTTTTCAAATGTCACAAACGTAGGCTAATCTGCAAATCTATAATTCATCTTGAAAATATTGTACTAACTCGGATTTGATTTCTGTGAGAAACTGCAACTTCACCCTTTAGCTCAAACAGATGGTAGAACAGTCTTCCATGTGATAACCATCAAATATTGGAATGAAGTAATATAGTAAGTAATATGTTCAGATCCCATATCACGGCATAGCGATCAAAAAAGACATGAATTTAGAGATCACGACATTGAGGTTAACTGTCTTCACTGCAATCTCTAGCACAGAGTCTAAATCTTTATTCAGCTTCCAACACTCCTGTCATCTGAATAAGTGGGTTGTGCCCACGAAAGCTCAGGATACCATCTACATGTTTTGTTAGTCTTTAAGGTGCTACTAGACTATTGGTGGTTGTTTAAATTTTTCCTGTTTTTTCTGAATAATTATTTCAGTAATTTGTTTTATTATGTCTTCTGCCGTTTCGTCAGTTTTTCTTAT